CAAAACCACTATTGTTTTTTAGTTAAATTCCAGATCTGCGCATTAGAAGAGTGGCCTTTTGCCTAGGGATGAAGGAGTTGTCTACAGCAATACATTTCTGCTTTATGAAAATATTCACTCCCACATATGGAATTAAGGGCTTGAAAAGGGAGTTGCTGCAGAGAGGAAAAGATTGGCTTTTTCTTCCTCCTACAACAATGCTGAATCACCTGCTTTTGTCATGCAGTAGATACAGAATGACCTAGGCCATGGTGTCGAAAGTTATGCCAGGATCTTCTGAATCAGTGCAAGGGCTTGCCCTCAAGGCCCCATGCTGCAAATATCTGTAAGTATAAATTACTTGGCCTTCATTATAAGAAAGGACATTAAGTTAGTGTTCTTACTCTGTCATAGTGAGAGTCCAGTGCTATATATGAATCAGCATAGAGTGATCACTTCCAAAATGTTAGACAATAGCAATAAAGAGGGACCATTTTGACTTTTGTACCCAAAATGGAAGCTATGGGGAAAATCTCAGGGCCTTGGTGCTTCCTAACTGCTCCCATTAGGAGGTAGCTCTCACCCTCCTCTTTCAGAAACATTTCCCAGGTGGCAATTTCTCTTCCCTTCCTTGCTTGTGGGGCCTGCTGCCCTGAACCTCTCTTGAACCTCACAAGAGATTTGACAGCATCAGACTGTCCATTGTCCTTCCCACTCCAGAGACTTTAATTTCCATGCGGATGCTTGAGCACTGTGGACCAGTGCTTTGACCACTGCCCACTAGTTAGGTTATGAAATGAACCTAATGTTATAACTATCCTGAGAAAACCAAGTAAAATGGAATGGTACATTAGGTAAGAGTGTGTTCCAATAATTGGGTCTTGAACTCAGGGCCTCACATTCTTGCTGGGCTTTTGCATTCAAGGCTCTACAACATAAGCCATACCTCCACTTACAGCTTTTTGCCTAGTTAACTGGAGATAAGAGACTCTTGGAGTGTTCTGCCTTGAACTATAATTCTCTGATTTTAGCCACCTGAGTAGCTAGAGCCACAGGTGTCCCACCAGGGAGATTTTTTTTTGTAATGAAGCTTTAATTTAGTTTCACTTATAATTATGTGGTCATATATGTTGTGACTAGTGACATAAAATATTTTTTTCATTGTCTCTTGCTGGTAAGAGAGTACACACATTGGGCTCCAGTTCTAGTACTGTTCTACATAGTTGGATCCTTAGGTCTTCTACTACGTAGTCAATCTGTCACTTGCTATCTGCTCCAATATATTGAATCCTGCCACCACCTAGAATAAGTTCATCTCCCAAACTGGGAACTTCTAACTACCATCCTTCTTATCCTACAGTATATCCCATCTCCTTTCACTAAGCCTAATTATATATATTTATTGAATCCAAAGTTTCCTCTATTTCTCAATGCTCCTGCTAGAACTAACAGCTCAACTTTAACTTTTCAGATTGTCTCTTTACTGTCTTCCAGAGTTACCCCGTTTAAGTCCCAAGCTGACCATGGTACTCAAACTTCAAAGTGGGATCTGGTTCCTTTTGTTCAAATCCTTAAGGCTCTTTTCTGCTGTGCCCATTTATTCAGCCAGATGTGTTTCCTGGAAACAGAATAACTCCTTGCTTATCTCTCCCATGTTTCCAAATACAGATGTGTCACAGCTTCTTATCCTGATTGTGACCCTACTCTGTAGCCCCAGCTCCATATAAGGCAGCATCATCCTATGCACATCACACCCTGCCTAGCACTGACAAGTCATGGGATGACCTTCAGGTCAAGGACAGAGCACAGGCAACGGCCAGCATACTGTGAATAGTGTACCAGATACTGTCCCTAGGCAATGTCAGGACTCTTCTCTAGAGAGTTCTGGAAGCTACACAGTTGAAGTAGAATAACTCCTGTGAACTGTAAGGAGAACCTAGGAGGGATCATTATACTGAGAAGCGAAATGGTTGCTTCTGTCCATGAACCAGTTCTTGGTGCACAGGAGGCCTAGTTGCAAGAAGACACTATTCTTGGGTATCCTTGAGATGCTGAGCCCCTTCATAATAAACCCTGCATTTTCCTGAGCTACCTTTAGTAAGTGAGCCTCTTTTCCTGCATGGAGAAGAGCCCAGATGGCAACTTTCAGCATGTTGAGTTTTACCATTGCTGACACGCGCTTCTGTGCTTTTCACATAAAATAAGCATTACCAGGAATGTGCTGTCTCCTTTTTCCTGTAAGGCAACTCCCTGCTTATCCATCAGGAAAATAAGTGACCTTGGTGTGGCTCCAGCTCCCAGGTCATCCCTCCTTTGTATCTCTTCAGTGCCTTCCTCATTCCTGTGTCGTGACACTCACCACACTCACAGTCCAGTGTGCCACTGTTTGTGTTTCTGCATCTGCCTCTGCACTCTCAGCTTCTTGGGCCTGGGACATGCTACTCGTGCTTTTATCTCCCCATTATGGGGGTGCAGAGCAGATTCTGTAGCCTGGACCTATCCTCTCAATTCTAATTGGAGTTGGCTGGCCTACAGCTGCCAGGCTGGGTCTCTTGAGTGGTTCAGGCAAGCCAGAAATGTTCAGGGGTTAACATTCCACGAGTGACTCTCAGTGAGGGAGAGAGGAATCAGTGGATAAGTCCGAGAGCTTCCTGTGGCTCTGTGGGTCCCTTGAGATCTACACAGAACCTTAGTGAAATTGAGTCCCAGTTGCCCACAATGGCTTTCCTCCCTTTCGTGCCCCTTTTCCTCACTTCCTTACCCTTATGCTTTCTAGAATTGCATGTTGGGTAAGCTCCAGCATTGTCTCAGGATTACTTTTGGATGAACTCAAACCATGGCAAAGAGATAACATATTGATGGTTGGGCAGACAGTGAGTGAACCGCTGGGGCCTTCAGCCACTCACCCCTCTGTGTAAGCAGAGGATGTCAAGTGATAACCTCCACTGGATTTCATGTTCTTCTTTTGATAGGACCCCCAGAGTCAAGATGCTGACATCTTGATGGTCAGCACCTCATTACTCTTGGTCAGTGGCTATTCAGAGAAGCCCTGTTTTCCAGACCATATTGGTCCTCTAGATCAATGAGGCTTTGGTCTCTCCACATTTGTGTTTTGAGCACACTGAGCTCATGAGCTTAACTATTACATGATACTACCTTTACTGCTGTTTTGAATATAAAAATTATTGATAAATGATTGAAAAGTTAGCACAGTTGCAATCTATCCTAAGCATCCCAGATCAATCAATAATGCCAAGTGATTCAGAGAAAAAAATGTAACATGTATGATCTGCTCTGCACTTAACATCCATTTTTAATAGATATGAAATTAAACTGAATGCGGGTTTTTTCCCCCCAGTTGCTCTGTTCTGGCAAAAGGTGAATCGGTGTAGTACAATGAACAGTGGTAAACAGAGGCAGTCCAAACCATGGCTCACTACCTAGCAGTCAGACCCCAGTTCCTGCATCTGAAGATCATATGGTAAGAGTGGATGATATTTCAGGTCCTTTCCAATGCTGAGATTTTTGTCTCTCCATCTTTGTCCACAAGGGAAAATCTTGCATACCATCCTGTCTAGATGACACTTGAAGTCCCATCACTGTGGTTGGTTGGAGTGAGTCAGGGAGGATGTGAGCTGACACTCCTCCATCTTGGTCCAGCCGCGACAGTGTCTACACTGCCTACATCACCTGGAGGGGCCAGGAGCAGAAGCTCTTAGCTATAATCCCTTGATTAAGCAAAAGGAGGCCCCCATTAGCCACTACATCAGGCCAGGATTTGGCTCTGCTTCATATAGAAAGGATGTGTGGAGTGACCCAGTTCCAGCTTCTGTCCCAGGAGCTGGGCTCCTGTGCCTTCACCAGGTGCTCAGGCAAAGCTCAGACATTAAGGTGTAACACGCCTGGCAAGCTCTTAAAAGGGAATGGCCTACATCCTGGGAGCAGACCTGCAAGGAAGGAAAGCGCGCTGGGAGGAGGTGGGAGTGCCTGGAAGGACTATCCAGAAAACCAAGCACTCAGGGGTGCATGAAGAATACCTCGAGAGAACGGAGAGTGCAGATACAGACCATTCCTTGTTTTACACTCTCTCCACAGATACCCCGAAGGTCAGAGGACAGAGCTGCTAGGAGGATTTGGGCTCTGAGACACAGAAGCCCGAAGCCTTTCTCTGAGGTGGCACACTCCTGAGCCACCAAGCTTTCCTCAGTCTTCTTTCTTTTTTTTTTCTTTTTATGAGTCTCACTGTAGTAGGTGCTCAACAGACTCTTGAAATTGGTGTGAACACAATGTGTGTGTGTGTGTGTGTGTGTGTGTGTGTGTGTGAGACTCAGTCCTCATCGGTCCTGTGTGTGTGAGACTCAGTCCTCATCGGTCCTGTGTGTGTGTGACTCAGTTCTCACCGGTCCTGTGTGTGTGTGTGTGTGTGTGTGTGTGAGACTCAGTCCTCATCAGTCCTGTGTGTGTGTGACTCAGTCCTCATCGGTCCTGTGTGTGTGTGTGTGTGTGTGTGTGTGTGTGTGTGTGAGACTCAGTTCTCATCGGTCCTGTGTGTGTGTGAGACTTCATCCTGTGGGTGTTTCAGACTCATTGTTTTGCTTTGAGAAACCAGCAAAGAGTAACCCGGAGACCCCCCCTCCCCACGGCCCCGAGAGGCTGGGGCCACTCTCAGGGGGCTCCGCTTCCTCTTGCTTGGGGGGAACGTAATGGGACACTTCCCCATCACTGATCCCACAGGGGATCCTCCCAAACAACTCTGGTCAAAATGTCCATCCCCGGACTCAGGCTAACCCCAGGTGTCCAAAACCCGGCCAGAGCCCAGGGAAGTTGCCTGGGCCTACAGCCCTGCCCCTTGTCAGGCCCTGAGGATGCGCGACCCTGGAGCGGAGTGCACCGGGGAGCCCCTCACCCTGAGGCCGTGGACACGTGGCCACCTCCAACACTCTGCAGCCCCCCACCACTCCGGCTCGGTTCTTCCCGCTCCCTCCGAACCCCTCCACAGGAGCAGATCTGGGGACACTCACCTCGCCAAGAGAGGACAGGCTCCGGCGCGGAGGCTGCCGCCCCGCCCTGGGCGCAGCCCCGCGGCGTCCCCAGCAGCAGCAGCCGCAGCAGCACCAGGGGCAGCAGCATCGCTAACCACTGGCCCACCCGGCGCTCTCCGTGCCCCCTCCCCGGCCGAGGCCGCCCCTCCAGCGCCCCGCAGAAGGCGTGCAGCCCCCCCTCCTCACCCCGACTCTACCCTTGGCCCGGACCTAAGATCTGGGGTCCCACTTCACCTCTCCTTGCTCCCAAGTGTATGGACACTTGCAGCTGTGGGCTGGGACACGGGAAATCGTGTTTTCCCCGCCCTACCCACTCTGGTTTGGGGAGGGAGGAGAAAGAGGAGATGGGCCATCTGCCCATCCCAGAAATTCTTGCCTTTGGGGGTGGGAAGAAAGGAGGGGTGAGCTGCGGGGTGCAGACTCCTTTCTCCTCCACCCCCTCCGCCCCCTGCTGCTAGCTCCCCTGCACCCCACTTCGCCTTTATTTATTTAGTTAGTTATTTTTGCCAGAGGCCCACAGAGATTTAGGAGTGATCTAACCGAGAACCAGGAAGGGAGGTCTGAAAGCTGGGGTTGCAAGGTTTGGGCCGTGGGCAGCTGAGAGCAAAAAAGAGTCTTTCTGGAACACGGGCATATTCCTCGGCAGCATGGAGCACTAGAGACCCCTGGGGTCCGCCCTGGGCTCTGTCCTCCTCATTCCAGAGTAATCTGGGAAGTTCTTCCCGCATGGGGCTCCTCTGGGTTGTAAAACAGCTTTCTGTCTTCTTTGATTTCACCTACCTAGCAAAACACACCTCTCTTCCCCAGCTGAAAGACCCAGACAGACAAAGCTATTTGCTGTAGATTACCCCTTAACCCAGCAAAATGGACTCCTTAAATTAGTAAATAGGACATCCCCAACTCAATGTAGTCCCAACAAATAACCCTTCAAATAACCCCTCAAAATAGCCCTTCAATAACCTTCAAATAACTACTATAACACAGGAAGAATTTATAGTCAAGGGAGCAGGCTAATATAAAGACCTTTCCTGAACAAGATCTTCTGGAAAGTAGTCATTAGAGCATAAGCAGAGGGGAGGAAGCAAAGGGAACTTAAAAAAAATAGGAAAGAAGGAAGAAAAGAAAGGTGGTCTTGGATGTCCTGTCTTTCTCTGCTAAATAGCAAAGTACAGATGCTAAGAGGCGCTGGAGGACTGGAGGTCAGAGTGAAATGGAAAGAAGAGAAAGTGATGGTCTTGGCTCAGTCTATGGGGACCTTAGAGTCCCTCAGAATAAGAGACTGACATCGCTGTTGGTTGAAGAGACACCGGGGTCCTTAATGCCTCTGCTGCTTCTGAAGGTGACAGAAGCTCCAGAAACCCTGAGGCGGAAGGGACAGGTGCCTGGCATAGCATGGCAAATGGTTAGGGACTGCCAGGTTGCCTTGGGGAGATGTTTGAGGTGGGGAAAAACCTGGGGAAAACCTGCTGCACAGAAAGCTTCTGCGCCTGAAAATGGGAGAAAGGGCATGTGTAATAACACCTCAGCAAACGTAAACTTCCACCACAGACCTTCTCTTTTATGGTCTCAGGATTGAGATTGGGACTGGGTAGGGGAATGCCTCCAAAGTGGAAGATTTGGTGCCTCCCTCGGCAGATGGGCACAATCCACAAGTAACAGAGTGTGGCACTGCACTGATGGTAGTCTGGTCAGGGCAGGGCAGTGAGAGTAAAGGGGAGAGGACCGGGAGGAACTCTAGTGGACATGGACAGTGAGTACTGGTGGTGAGTATTGGGAGGAAGAAAACCCACAAAGGTTAGAGTGACGGTGCTGTGTGGGAGGTGGCATGTCTGGCTGTGTGCGCAGAAAATAGGGCAGTCACTGGGACACTGGGCTACTCCCCATTGCTTATGAAAACAGGGTGTGTGTGGAGGGGGAAGGGGGACTTGCACTTGCTCTCTTATGGATTTTATCCTATGCATAATGACTGCCTTTCCTGAAACAGAGCAGACAATATTTAGAGGGGAGGGGGCTCTGCCTAGGAGTAGGATATGGAGAGGAAGAACAGACTGTATTTCATCTTCAGAGCAATTAGTGTAACGAAGAGAGGTGAGGACAGCTTCCAGGCCTATCAATACCTCATTTCCTATTCAACATTAGCAGACTCAGAAAAGAGTGACTGGTTTTCATGTCTTCCTGAGGCACTGCAGCAGCTTTGAGGTGGAGATCTGTGACAGAAAGTTTATTTTTAGCCTTTGAAAAAATGAATATTACCCTTATGGAGGTCCTGGGTTACCTTTCAGGTTTATGAGGCGGTGGAGTGGAATGTTTCAAAGAGACTACTCTGCCATTTACCAGGACTGTTACTGAGTGGTCTTTAGCCTTTATGTGAGTAGAATGGAGAGGAGAATATTTGCTAATGTTTGGATGATGTTCAGAATGTTGTAATAAATGAGAATGTACACTCAGTGCTTAGCACTGAGTCTAATCTATTGTAAATACTCACTTGTGGGAGGTGTGAGCTGATCTCCTGTGGAGAGCAAAGAGCAGAAGCAAAGCTGAGCTCAGAGCAAGACTGCAGATTGTTGTACTGTCACTAATTACTGGGGCACTGGCGTGGGGCTTTGTACATCTTCCCATTACTAGATTGAGTTAGGGCTGTGTTTATATGTATCTTACCTGGATGTATGTTCATTGAGGAACCATCCTATTTTCCTTCTCCTTGAATCTCTAAGACAGGACATTTCTGGCACCTTCTGAGCTATCAAGGAATCTGTTGCATGAGGTAAAGGAGAAAGAATGGGAAGGAAAGAAGGAGGGGTGAAAGGAATAGACTGGAGTCATCTGAAAGTTGAGTAAAACCTTGAATACCCGAATTGCATTGAATGGAAGCAGGAAAGAAAAATACAGTGATATAACACTAATTTCAGTGGGTGCCGGTGGCTCATGCCTGTAATTCTAGCTACTCAGGAGGCTGAGATATGAGGATCGCAGTTTAGAGCCATACCAGGCAGAAAAGTCTATCTTATCTCCAATAAACTACTCAGAAAAAGTTGGAAGTGACACTATGGCTCAAGTGGTAGAGGGCTAGCCTTGAACACAATCTCAGAGGACTGTGGGAATTAAGGTCTCTTTAAGAAAAGGTGAGACCATAGTTTGTGGGAAAGATTTAACCAAGGAACCATTTATGAACATATAGGTAAAGTAATAAAGCCAAACACCAACTGCAATGGTGAAGCATAAGTTTCTGGTCAGTTCTGGAAGCTATGTTATTAGTACACCTATGCTTGAGGTAAAAAGGGCAGGGAGGGGCTAGAAAAACCCAATTAAGAGCTGTGTCCTTGGGATGGGGGTCATGTAATAGGATTGAAGACTATGTATTACTAATTGTTTAACAAAATAAAAACTCTTCTGGATTTGGCCAATGGCTTCCCACTGGCCAAATCCAGCGGGAATTCAGAGGCAAAGAAACTCATAGCAAGCTTCCCAAAGCGTGGAGCAAAGTGAACTATATAGACAGTAGATCTGGAGAGGCAAATGAAGAACATTCAACATGAGACACACATTGTCAATTTGGCATTGGTTTAGAGGACACTACAAAGAACAAGGTAGGAAGAGTCCTCACCCATGACCACAGATATTTGGGTTTGGGGAAAATAATCAACTGATTTCTGGTCTAATAAAGGACAATGCATGTCAGTATGTGGAATGCATCTGAAGACAAGTACTTTGAAGGGCTGGAGGTTAGAAGGAGGCTTCCAAGAGAAAGTAGCATCTGACCCTGTTCCTTGAACATTCAATTGACTTCAGAAGACTATGTTTATGAGAATCAAAACAAAACTCACTGACTGGGGACAAATACTTGCAAATCATATAGCTAGTAGAAAATTTGGATTTAAGACCTCTCTGATGCAAAAGGAAACCTCATTACTTGATATGAGCAGACATTATATCAGAGAAGATGCACAGGGGACCTATACTCACATGAAATGATTTTCCACAGTGATCAAGAGAAGACAAAATTAAATTCTAATAAAATATTTCCATGGCTAAAATTCAAAAGGCTGACCCTATGAAGGAGATGTAAGAATGTGGAGAAACTAAAACTCTTGCACCACTGCTAATAGGAATGTAAAATGGTACAACTACATTGGAAAATAGTGATATGTATCTGTATTTATGATACTATATAAACATAGATGCACAACATGGAATATTACTCAGCCTTAAAGCAAATCCTGCTATTTGCAACAAAGTGGATTCAGAGGACACTATACTACGTGGAATGAGTAGAGCCGAATGGTGATTGGGAAAGGGTTAGACATGAGAATAAGTAGGTTACAGGCTACAAATTTGAAGTGTGATAAATCAAATTAAGAGCTAAGATATGTCATAAGGACTGTAGTCAATATTGTATTGATTATAGAACATTTGCTAAGAGAGTAGAGTTTAGGTTTTGTTGCCATACCCACTGTGAAAGGTGATAGGTATACATATTTGACTGTTGTAATCATTTTTGCTGTATATATCAAAATTTCATGCTGTACATCTTAAATATATGCAACAAAAACAAATTAAAAGAGATGGAGATGTCACTCAGTAGTAGATTACCTCCTAATATATGCAAAGCCCTGTGTTCAGTCCCTGGCTCTGAAAAAACAAAAGAAAACAAAACAAAACCTCGAAAACTCCCCAAAACAGAGGATGATAGTTGGAGGTCATCCAGGCAAAATATTTATGAGAACCCTCATTTCAACAGACAAAAAGCTGAATGTGTGTCTGGCACATGCCTGTCATCCTAGCTTCTAAAGGAAGTATAAAATAGAAGGATCACTCTCTACACTGTTTTTACAAAAAGCAAGACCACACTTCAAAAAATAACTAGAGCAAACAGGGCTGGAGGATGAATACAGTGGTTAATATTCCTGCTGCTTTATGCAAGGCAGATAGTAGATGAGCCATTCATTGGGGTTAAGAGACTGCAGAGGACTCTGGGTAAATAGATGGCAATTCTCTGGACAGGAAGGAGGCAGGAGAAAATGGACAGCAGTGAACTTTATACTTAAGAGAAAGGGCCATCAATTTTTTGTTTGACTGAGAGTATTGGAGAGAAGGAGAGTTAG